CTCTGTCTCCAACGACGTCTTCACCCACTGTGTGAAGGACGGTGGTTGGAGACAGAGGTACCCCCAGGATTCCTCTTTGTGTTCCTTCCTCTCTCTTGGGATGGGGAGACTGTTCTCTATTAACTGTGAAGACTCCAATGTCTGTGATCTTCGAAGGACTGTGAGCTTTTTTCTGGAGCAGAAGTCCTGGAGTGTTGGAAGCCTGGAGCCACCAGGGTCAGGAGGGCAAGCCTGTGTTTTGGTCGCTCATCTGGAGCAGGTTGTGCCTGAGCCAGACCGTTGGAGCCTGGCTGGACAGTGGTCTGCTGCCAGGTGGATCCAGGCTCTGATCATCAGCATTCTTACTGGTCTCTTCACCACTTTCCCCCTGAGGATCTGGATTATATGTCCTCACTTGCTCATGGATGGAGGTTAGAGGCTCGAGGGACTTCTTTCAGAATATTCTGGTGATAATCTGTTCTTCGCCTACATTACCCTACAGTCTTTTGTTAAAAGGAGATGATGTTTCTTTGTTCTGATAGAAATGTAAAACATGTTCATTGAGGAAACCTGAAGAGGATAAGGCAAAACAACTTTACCGTTGTTATTACTCCACAATAATAGAGCTACCTCATGTAGTTTGTGGATTCAGCTTTATACCACTCCAATCTCTTCTAAATAATATTCAACATCTGCTTCAGAGAGAATATGAATTTATTAGCAGTTCCTATGTTTGGACGCTGACTATTCTCAGTTTCCTGCATAAACATACAACTCACCAAGTTATGTAATACAGTTTTGTTCAACATGCTTAGCAATGTTATCGAAGTAAAGGTAACAATATTGTGTAAAGCGTACTCACGTTTCTTCTTTTTTTTTTTTTTCGAGACAGAGTCTCACTGTATTGCCTAGGCTAGAGTGCTGTGGCGTCAGCCTAGCTCACAGCAACCTCAAACTCCTGGGCTCAAGCGATCCTTCTGCCTCAGCTTCCGGATTAGCTGGGACTACAAGCACACACCACCATGCCCAGCTAATTTTTCTATATTTTGTATTGGGCTAATTAATTCTTTCTATTTTATAGTGATACGCGTCTCCTCTGCTCAGGCTGGTTTCCAACTCCTGCTCTTCAGCAATCCTCCTGCCTTGCCCTCCAGGAGGTCTAGGATTACAAGAATAAGCCACTGAGCCCTGCCAGGAATACTCATTTCTTGAAGGCCATGAATGGTTTTGTGTGGGGGAAGGACTAATATGCAAGGCCTTTTTATCTTTCCTATATTCCTGCATTCAAACTCTGTCTAACTGCACCCCAACCCTGGCCCAGGAAACACTCTGGCTCTGCTGACCTTGCGTCTGTAGGTGGGGAAGTCAGACTATTTCAAATCCTCCATGTTGTGCTTTTGTCCCTGCATATCAAGCAGATAGTCTCCATGAGGGCCAAGTGTCAGGGGAGCCCTTCGGTGATGTCAAGGGTGGACTTTAGGGAGGGTGGAAGGAAGGTCGACACTGCCTGGGGCCAAGGGTGCCATCCGGACCCTGCTGTGGGCTGAGGCCTCCTCCCCAGTCTGCCCTGTGTGTCCACTCCATGGCAAGCTTTGGAATTCCCAGGTAGAGACGGTCACCTTTGCCTCCTGAGCAAATATTGCCTCAAAATTGGTGCACTTTGCATCACAGCTTGTCCCCTGATGTCCAAAGGTGACCTGTTCTCTACGCTCCCTGATTCTTAGGGTTTTCAGTGTGTCTGTGCCAACCAGGATATAGAAAACAATTATTCATGAGTCTGTTTGTCTTTCCCTTTTATTCTTTCTCTTTTTCCCCTGACTTCCAATTCCTCTTTCACTGTCTCTGTCTCTCTCTTTTCATGAGATGTATGGTAAGCACTCACTCTATTTTCTCAAACTCTATCCATGCACTTAATAAAGTTGGGTTCATTGCATGCTGGTTTTCAGTCACTGCCACCAGAGATGACTAGGACCATCCTAAACTCTAATTGTTTGAAGAATATGCAAACCCTGACAACCTTAAGTCACCTCGTCCTCATTTCCTTCCTATAATCTTTTCCCCATACCAAGTAGCACATTCTTCTTGACTCCATAAATAAACTCAACTGCAATGTGCACTTGAACCCTAGCTCCATCCCCACCACACACACACACAAGTCAGAGTTGTTCTCTCATCTTCCCACTGTCCCCAGGACTCTGGGGCCTGGTGAATAACGCTGGCATCTCCTTGCCCTTCGGCCGCATTGAGTGGCTGACCAAAGAAGACTTCATGACCATACTAGACGTGAATTTGCTGGGGATGATCGAGGTGACTCTGAGCCTGCTGCCCTTAGTGAGGAAGGCGAGGGGCCGTGTGGTCAACGTCTCCAGCATCGCGGGTAGAATGGCTGTTACAGGTGGCGGCTACAGCATCTCCAAGTTCGGTGTAGAGGCCTTCTCGGACTCCCTCAGGTATTGCAGTGGGTAGGGCCCTGCCTGAGTCCTCCTGTTCCTGGTATTCTCTGGGAGCATTTTGCCAGAGTTTGATTTCATCACAGATTTAGAGGCCCTTTTTTGAGTCCCATTTCTAAGGCTTTTGGGCCCTGTCCCCCTTTTGGATTTAGTCAGCCATTCCACGTGACCTCCGGTCCTGTTCCTGTAGAGCAGGGGGCACAAGGACTAAGAAATGTTATAACCTGTCTCTGAGCCTTCTGAGGAGGCCCCCAGACAGGACATGTGTGAAGCAGCTTGGAGGTGGGATACTTTGGCTGCTGAGCCCATGTCCACAGCCACCGAGATGCTCGGGTGCAGGGAGCCCTTGAGGGGCGGGGGCGGCCTCTGACTCAGCACAGCACACAGCAGCGGGCACTAGTGTGAAGCAGCAGCAGCGCATTCTAGGACAGCAGGGGTTGCTCCTTGACCCAGACACTAGGACAGCTGAGAGGGAGAGGGACAGGAGAGAGAAAGCCATTGTTGTCAGCCCTTATTGGTGTTGTGACTAAGGCAGCATTGTGGGAGGGTCCTGGTTGTGAGGTCTGAGCTGAGAACTGAAGATTTGAACCTGGCACCTGCTAATGAGGTGTTGGCAGGGCTCCTGATGACAGGAAAACGTCCGCCCCAGAAAAGTCTGAGCATTACCTGACTCCCTATGTTATCCTGTCCTCTTGGACCAAAGGACAAGGTCAGGAGAGGTGTGGGGGACTGAAGAGGCAGGCAGCAGTGGGGCTTGGAGTCCTGTGGTTTCTAGACACATGCTGTTCTTCATGCTATTGGCAGTGGAATCCATGGCCTGGATGTACTCAGGGCAGGTATTAGGTCTAAGGGGCATCTAGACCCCCGTGGGCTGCAGGGAGCAGATCGGCTGTGTGTGTGGGGAGCCCAGACTGAAGGCAGAGGGATGCTCCCCAGAAGACAGCCGCACCAGCCCCGCTGACAGATGGCCAGGGAGTCACAGGGCAGGAGAGGGAGGAAGGGGACAGGGAAGCACAAAGGGTGACATGTGCCAATCCTTCTGATGTCCTGGATGTGAGGGTCGAGGGGAAGATAGCCCAGCGGTGGTGCCTGGAAGCTGATTCAGGGGATTTGGAGCTAGTGACCTCAGTGTGTGAAGTATGTCATCCCTACAACAGTCAATGCCATCGTCATAATTTCTGTTGGCCTTCTGCTACATGTCCCATATGTCAAGGTTTCTGGCTTTTTCTACCATCACTGTATGTTGAATTTTCATTAATTTTATATGTGTTTTGTGTCTGCTAAAAGACCTCTGAACTCCTTGCGTTCTGCCTGTCTGTCTCCCAGGAGGGAGCTTGCCCCCTTTGGGGTGAAGGTGGCTATAATTGAGCCTGGTGCCTTCAAGACTAACATGAACAACACCGAGAGGATTTTGCTGAATGTACAGGCGGTGTGGGACCGGGCCCGACCTGAGATCAAGGAGATCTATGGCGAGAAGTATCTGGCATCCTGTGAGTGCACTGTGGACAGTGAGAAAACTAAACCTCAGATCATGATTAATGTCTCCAACACCATGAGGGTCTGTCCTCCTTCTGGATAGGGGGGAGAGGGAAGGTCAGCCTTGTCACAAAGTGGGGATCTTCAGCTCCATTCCCAAGGTGCTGTGTGGTCAACAGGTCAACAAGAGAGGTAAACCACGTTCAGTATAATTGGAAATTCTGTCCCATCATATTATTGAAAAACAAACTAAAGACAGAGAGGGAAGATGCCATGCACTCATGGCCAGCTGGCTTTAGAGAGGACTGGTTTTCCTGTGCTTGGATTCTTGTCAGCAGAGACCTTGTGGAGGTCTTGAGGAGTCCAGATATTCCCAGGAAGAGAGGCACGAGGTGGCTTACTGTGGACCAATTTTTCTTGAGATAAGGATGAGCCAAGCCCCTGGGAAACCTGCATTGATTAGATTTGGGGCACATCACTGTGGGTCCCCGGAGTTCTTACAAACTTTCCCACTAGCATAGAGCTGTGAAAGGGAGCAGAGGGTTGTGCCACTCCATTAAGCCTGTTTTCTCATCCTCAACAGACCTGAAACTACTATCCAAATCGCTTAGGAAAGCATGCAAGGAGAATCTGTCAGAGGTGACAGACTGCATGGAGCATGCGCTGACTGCCTGCCACCCTCGCACACGCTACTCAGCTGGCTGGGACGCCAAGCTCTTCTACCTCCCCATGAGCTACATGCCCACCTTCCTAGGGGACGCCATCCTCACCTGGGTAGGCCCGGTGAGCCTACCAAGGCCAGCCAAAGACCTATGAAGTGTGGACTATGGAATTTGTTTGGGTGGGGTTGGATGCTGTGTGAGAGGGGAGGTGAGCTGGAGTGAGAAATAGGGTTGAAGGATGGAGCTGTCATGTCATCAGCTCACCTGTCCTACCTGCATCCTCCCCTCCTGGCCATGGTTGTCCTGGGATTTCATCCAATAACCCAGAAATGTTAGTAGGAAAGTGCCAAGTTATGCAGCTGAGAAACAAGAATCCAATAACACTCCTGGTTGTCTTGTTGCCTTGGGTGGCCACTCAAGGTTCTGATGTTCTTGGGACAATGGTGGGGCACAATTGGGGAGGTTTCAGCTGATGGACGGAGGTTTAGCTCACACCTTCTTGGCCTGCTGCCCAACTCCTCAGGGTGTGCTTCAGTCTGGTCAGTCTACACCCTCCCACAGGGTAGAAATCGCTTGGAGGTGGTTAGGGACCTTTCCTGACTCTGAAGATACCCATGTACATGGGGTGGGGACGGGGAGAAAACCATGAACCTGGCTCATCATCCTCAGGTGTCAACTTACCAAGCATTGGTGGGAAGGTGCTCTTAATAGGGGTCTTTCCAGAAGACACATAATCAGTGTTTCTTGTGACTTGAACCCATGGAGTCCCTTTCATTATGCTGCCCTAGAAACACTAGATAAGTTCAGCCAAGCTCAGGAATTTTATTTAATTTTTTTCTGTTACTACCCAAATTCTTAGTAGTGGGATTTTAATCTCTTTGAAAGCTACCCTTGGATTTTAGACATACTGGATGAAATCCCTGTCTGAGTCTGGGTTTCCTCATCTGCCTCAGCACCCCGAATTCAGTCCTCAGAAATCTCAGTCTCTGACAGTCCCTCACACTCCAGGGATCAGGAAAGGTGGCCAAGATCCCCTCCTGATGCAGTATTTGTCTGCAAAGAAGGAGGACGTGATCACAAAGGGGGAGTCAGAAACAGGGGCCAGGAAAGGAGACAAGACAGAGAGTTATGGCTAGAAAACTGCCAGAAGGAAACTTCCAGGGTTGCTGGGAAGGTGGAATGAAATGAGTACACAAAGCAGATGTAATAGCTCTTACACTTCTATGCCCTGAAGATACTCTTCCCTTAGCTGTGGATGGCATCAGGGAGTGGGATGCAGACCTATGGGAACAAGAAGCTGGTGCCGTCACGGAAGTCAGGGGATGAGAGGGATGACCCGGGGAAGGTTTGAAGAGAACAGATGGATTCTAAGCCCTTCCTGCCATGCAGGACAGTGTTAATGTTTCCCTATGAGACGGTTTCTCTAGTGCTGGAGTCAGGAATAGACAGAAGGATAGGCAAGCCAGAGGATGGCAATAAGGACTGGCAGGCCCAATCTCTTCCCCGGGGCAACTGGGCCACTCCACCTCAGCAGCACCTGCTCTGTGTCCCCCAGGGATCGACCCTCACCTACAGGGACTGCCCTGATCTAATTGCCCACCCTCGGATCCCCAATTCAACATCTCTGACATGGACCTCTACGGTGACATAGAGTGAGTGTCACCTTTGGACCCCTGTCTCTCATTTTCTCCTCATTTATGCTGAGCGCCTCTCATGTCCTGGGCAAATGCCCAGGAATTCCCTGGGCTTCCTCAGATCCAGCTCTGAGTCTTCAGTGTTCTGGGGTTGCTGAGAGTGTGGTCTCAACAGAGAAAGCACTTGCAGAAGGGGACACAGATTCCAGGGAAAAGGTCCTTTTGTAGCTGGGAGGCACCTGCCTAAGTCTTGGTTTTCTTCCCTCAGTGTAATAGCTGAGGACAGGGAGCCTTCAGGGGACCTTGTGCTGTTGAGCAGATCCGTGTTGGGTGTGAAAACAGCAAGTGAGCTCAGATTCATGGAAAACTTGAATTGGGCATTGGTGTGGAGCACGTCAGTGCTGAAGCCGTGAAGATGGCCAGGGAGGGTCGTCCTGGAGGACCAAGGCCCTGAAAGCTGTAGGGTCAGGCCACTGAGTGTCCTTCCATGCTGCCCCACTAAAAGCTAGCCAACAGTTTCATATGCAATCTGAAGACAACAGCTTCTTTTTTAATGTTAATAATTCTTTCTGTGTAAATAGACATTGACACACACAACACACACACATACACATACGCACACCAGGAAACCAAACTGAAATGAAATAAGAGGCTGGGATTCACTTGACAGCTCACTGGGGAGTTGTTTAGGAGGCTGGACTCACTCCCAGGAGTGCTCTGCAGAGAGTGGGAGAGCTGTGAGGGTGGACACCCCTGGCCCTGCGAGGCTCCACTGGGAGGTGCAAAGACCCTGAGACTGGAACCCTGGCCTACCTCACGGACTGTTAGCAATGGGGCCACCATTTTCATCAGAGAACAAACATGGCCATTAATAATGTGTAAAGTAAAGCAGTGCACGTCTGCACACCTACTCCAAGCCGTCAGTAGAACCTCCCCTAGTCTTCCACAATGGCATCTTTTCTTAGGGACGAAGCAGGTCACCTGCCTTGGAGCTGTGAGGGACTGGGCCCAATCCCACAGAGTGCCGGGTGCCACAGAAGCTGCCTTCACTGCTCCTTGCTGCCCTGGTCCTCTCTGAGGAGCACCAGGCCATTCAGTCCCGACCGGAATCTGTCATCCCCACCAACCTCCTGATCTCCATTGCCTGCAGGGCATGTGGCCCTTCCTTTCTATGTCCCCACTGGAGCCTTAGACAGGCTGCAGCTGCAGGGCTTGACCCAGGTGGCCATGAGCCTCCACGTCCTGTCTTTCCCAGCGTTGCTTTCTCTTTCCTACAGCTCGTCCTCTTCAGGAGGCCCATCCTAGATGGAGAAGGGGCAGAGGGCAGAGTGCTCCTGAAGCTGGAGACAGTGGTCTCCAGGAGGCTGAGCTGGGCTCCCCTGGGGGACTGATCCCAGCAGGAGTCCACATGCAGAGACTGCAGGGCGCCACCAGGTGGCGCAAGTCCACCAGGGCAGGCGGGAGCCCAGAGGTGTGGCCCCAGAGTGTGTCCAACCTCCTCTCCCAGCAGTGCTGAGGTTGTCATTGTCACGGGGCTTGTGAAGGGGGCTCAGTGATAGGACTCTGGGAGCGTGAGTCTCCACACTATCCGAGGTTCCGAATGATTTCCCCTTCTGCCCATGAGTACAGAGGATGCAGTGTCCCTCCCACTGACTGCCCCCTGGGGACTCCTCCGATTGCTGCTGACTCTGCAGTGGACTGGGAAGCTCCTGCCACCCCAGCAAAGGGTGACACTGCCGTCAGCATGAGCAAGGGTCAGCAGTAGTTGTGAGGACAGGGAAATGTGTTTATCCGCGGCCATTGAGATTTCATGGTTGAAAGAGTTCCAAGTCCCAGAGAAGAGCTGTGGAGTGTGATCCCGCAGAGGACAGCCCAGAGCAGGAGGGCAGAGGGCAGTGTACTCACCACCCAGGGCTGGGCAAAGTGCGTCTGCAAGAGGTAAACAGTAAACTGTGACACCTGCATGTTTTCATCATTCCTCTGCCCCTCCCTGTGACTCTGTCACTTTCTTTCTAGTGTGTTCCCAGCCCGGTTCCCTTTCTCTCTCCTTCTTTCCACTGAGGTCTGACTGCCTTTTTGACATCTCATACTCCTGCTTTCCATGGACCTACTGGAGCAGGAGGGGACCTATTGCTTTTTTCTGTTTTTGCCTTCTCCTTCCAATCCTAGAGAGACTGGCAATGAATGACTTAGTTTCCTGAGTGATTCTGGGTCATGACCAGATGTGGAAACCCAGGTTCAAGGGAGGATTTCAAACTACTGTGTCTGAAACCCAGGTGTGGCTCCCCAGTACACCTGGGTCTTCTCTGTCCAGCCCAGGATGTCACTGTACGAGATGTGCAGAGACAGTTCTGACCCTCCAGGTTAGATGGAGTGCTATGTGTGCCATGGTGTGCATGTGTGTGCCCTGGTATGGAGACCTGTGTGGACGCTCATGTGTGGACCTGTGTGGACACCCGTGTGGGCATAGCAGGGTAGAGTGACATCGGAGGACCAGGGAGGCATTGCTGAGCAGTAACATTTTCTCATGTGGCAGGACTGGAGGTCTTTCAAGGGCGTGTATCAGAACTTGCAACAGCAGTGCCAAGAGCAGAGGGTGGGGTGAGGCAAGGGAGGGCTCCAGGCCAGAGTGCCTGGAGGCTTCCCTGACAACTGCCACCCTCTGTGTTCCCTAGTGCTCCTGTCTGAACACTGGCATAGGCTCCTTATACCCTAGTCTGTGAGTGTCTG